TAAAGGAATCATTTATTAGTATTCAAAACCACCCACAACAATGTTATGGCAAACTGGTAAAAAATGTGCCAAGCACGTTAACCATTGAAACAAGTAATCTAAGAGTTTCCACTTTTCATGAATGATAGTAGTGGTATAAAACTAATTTACAGCAAAAAAAACTCAATTAATAAGAGGCAGATTTGGAACCAGATATTAAACTGAGGCCCAAAATGGTGTGAACAGGAGGGCGGCCAATAACTCATGGCCCGTGATGTGGGTAAAGCCATCAGAGTGAGAGAGTTGGTGAGCAAACGTGGAAAATGTTTCTGCGCGAGAGAGAGGAGAGAGAACGAAGGATCCAGAGACTTCGTCCTTGGAGACTGAGGAAGCTGGTGACGGCACAGCGGTCCGACGGCCTTAGAGACGTCAGACGACTAAGGTGCAGAAGAGAAAAATGAAGAGGGCGAAGAGAAGAGTAAGTAAAACGGAACCTTTCTTGCTTTCAATTAACTGTATTCAATTATTGTGTTTTCATATGTAAAAGACGTAAAGAGGAGCTCTATTTATATAGCTCTGAAAAACAGAAAACGATTAGAGTAATAAAAGAAACTAAGACCTAAAAGAGAAGTGGATTTCGGTCCACTTTACAGTAAAGGATCAATTTGATTCTCAACAACCTCCCCTCAAACTGGACGGTGTATGGTCACCAGTCCAAGTTTGGGAACAATAGACTTGAATTTGACGCGATGAGGGAATTTGGTGAAGATATCGGCAAGCTGCTCGTCGGATCGCACGGGAAGAAGGGTGAGGAGATGTTCCTGAATTTTCTCACGAACAACATGGCCATCGAGCTCAATATGCTTGGTACGTTTGTGAAAGCTCTGGTTGTGAGCTATGTGTCTCGCAGACTTGTTGTTGCAGTACAAGGCAGGGGTCCCTGACTCTTCAATTTAGAGGTCCTGTAGGAGATAGCAAAGCCACTGTATTTCACATACAGTGGCTGCAAGTGCTCTGTACTCAGCTTCTGTGGATGATCTGGAAACAGTTTTCTGCTTTTTAGATTTCCAGAAAATGAGAGAGGATCCTAGGAAGATACAGAATCCTGTTGTGGATCTTCTAGTATTGGGACAAGTGGCCCAGTTAGAGTCACTTAAGGCTTTCAATTGCATAGGAGAGTCAGCAGTGAAAAATAGCCCTTCAGAGGGCTTGGATTTAGTGTACCTAAGAATGTGCTGAATGGCACGATAATGATAGTCAAAGGGTGATTGCATGAACTGACTAAGCAAATTAACAGAAAACCACAAATCAGGTCTTGTATTTGTAAGATAGAGTAACTTCCCTATTAGTCTTCTATATGGACCTGGATCATCCAGGTAGCTGTCCATCTTGTATAATGAGGTTGTATCGCTTAGGAAAGGAGTAGAGGAAGGCTTACATCCCAACATCCCTGTCTCTTTCAGTATGTCCAAAGCATATTTCCTTTGACATAAATGAATACCTTTCTTTGACCTGGCCACTTCCAATCCTAGGAAGTACTTGAGTTCTCCAAGATTCTTTATTCAAAATTTCTTGTGTAGGATCCCTTTTATGCAGTTGATTTCCATCATAGAGTTTTCTGTCAAAACAATGTCATCCACATACACAAGTAGAGCAGTGAAACTTGTAAGGGTTGTTCTAGTGAACAAGGAGTGGTCAAACTTAGATTGAGTATAGTTTACAGATATTAGGAAGGAAGACAATTTTTCAAACCACTGCCCACTGGCTTGCTTCAAGCCATATAAAGATTTTGTTAACCTGCAAACCTGCCCTTCATTGTAGTTAGTCAAACCTGGAGGTGGCTCCATGTATACCTCTTCATTGAGATTTCCGTGTAGGAAAACATTGTCTACATCTAGTTGATGTAGAAACCAATTATTTGAAGCAGCTAGAGCAATGAGCAACCTAACCGTGGTCAGTTTAACAACAGGGGAAAAGGTGTCAAGATAGTCTATTCCCTCCTGCTGTGTGTAACCTTTTGCCACCAGGCGAGCCTTGAATCTTTCAATGCTACCATCAGCTTTGTATTTCGTCTTATACACCCACTTACATCCTATAGCAGTCTTTTCTGGAGGTAGCTGAGTTAGAACCCATGTGTCATTGTCTTGCAGAGCCTTGATCTCTCTCTGCATGGCTTCTACCCACTCATTCATGCCTTTTGCCTCACTGTAAGATCTAGGCTCCTTATTTCCAGTGACAGCCATGGTGTATTTTAGATGCTTTTCTGAAAGATTATCACAACACAACAGATTAGATATCGGGTAAGGGGTTTTAAGACCATTCTTCACAGATAGGGATTGATTGACCTGATGGATATAATCTTTTAGGTAGTCAGGGGTCTTTCTGGGTCTGTTAGATCTTCTGTGCACTTGTATATCCTGACTGTCTCCTGCACTGTCACTACTGTCTTCATCAGCAATGAGTTGTTGTGCCTCTTCCCGGTCAGCAGCATCCAATTCGGTATGTATGTCATCATCAGTGTGGCAGTGATCTTTTAGAAGATCACTGAGAGAATCAGCTTTGTCCCTTCCACTATCTGAATTTATACTATTGTCTTGCAAATTTTTGTAAGGAAAAATGTCTTCATGGAAGACAACGTTTCTGCTTATAAGAAGTTCCTTGGTGTTTATGTCAAGCACAAGATAACCTTTCACGCCAGTTTTGTAGCCTAGAAAAATAGCCTTTCTAGCTCTTGGGTCAAGTTTACTTCTATTATGCTCAAGAGTAGAAACAAAACATAAACATCCAAAGGTTTTGAGGTTTAAATAGGTAGGGGGCAAGTTATAGAGCAGATCATGAGGGGTTTTGTTATTAAGAATGGGAGTAGGCAACCTATTTATAAGGTAGACAGCATGACTAACCGCATAGGACCAGTAAGCATTGGGTACATTAGCTTGAAAAAGGAGGCCACGGGTAACATTTAAAATGTGTTGGTGTTTCCTTTCAACAACAGAGTTTTGCTCAAGAGTCTCAACACAGCTTCTTTGATGATTGATGCCATGTAATTTATAGAAATCCACACACTTAAATTCAGGACCATTATCAGACCTAATAGTCTTAATCCCTTTGTTGAACTGATTTTTAATTTTAGCAACAAAACTCTGCAGCAAATCTCTAGTTTGACCTTTATTATTCATCAAAAAAATCCATGTGTGTCTACTATAGTCATCAACTATGGTGAGAAAATATTTATGACCATGAACAAAGATAGTGTTAAAAGGACCCCATATATCACAATGCACAATATCAAAACATTCAGCAGTAGTAGAAGTACTTTTTAGAAAAGACAGTTTTCACTGTTTAGCATAATGGCAGGTATCACAAACAGTATTAGCACCTAATCTAACATAGGGAAAATTCTCGCATATTTGCTTTATAACCCTGTCCCCTTGATGGCCTAATCTATAGTGCCACAGGTTTACATCAACCTTCTTAAGAGAAAAAGCAGTCCTGGAAATATATCTTTGATCAGGTTTAGGAAAAGCCTGCAGATAATAGAGCCCTCTCCAAGAGTTAGCATATCCAATCATCTTCAATGTATGGTTCTCCTTTATCTGGCAAGTCTTAGAGGAGAAAGTCAGACTGCAATTCAAGTCTTTAATAAGACTTTGAACTGAGATCAAATTGAAATAAAACTCAGGAATATATACAACATTGAAAATGACAAAGTCCTCAGAGAATTGTACAGTACCAGCATGTTTAGCAGTGAGGGTAGTATTGTTGGGTAATCTTATAGAAATAGGTTTAATTTGATAAAAGGTTATAAAATTCATTTTATCATGTGTCACATGGTCTGTGGCACCAGTATCTATTATCCAGGAAAAGTTACCTTGCTTATTTTCAATATCATTCCTCTGAACTTGATTAACTTTGTGAGTTGGCTCATCATCTTTGTCTATCATTCGGAGAAGCTTCTGCATCTGTTCTGCAGTGATAGAACTAAAAATGTTGCTGTTATTTGTAGGCTGTGTTCTCTGAATTCCCTCGGGTTCAATGGTGTTCTGGCAAGCATTGGCAGAACTCCATTCATTCGTTCTGTCTTGACTGTCCTCTTCTTTCTTGTACCAAGGTGGATACCCATGCTTAGAGTAGCACTCATCTACTGTGTGGTTCATCTTGTTGCAATAGGAACATTGTTTGCCATAGTTAGGATTTCTACCTCTTCCTCTTCCTTGGCCACGGAACCCAGACCCCGTCCTTGTCCTTTCCATTGATTGTTTCCGTCAGCAGTACTGGCCAAAACTTTAGCATCAGCTGAGCCATGCTTCTCCTGTCTCTCTTGTTGTATAATAAGAGAGAAAACCCGATTGATGTTTGGAAGGGGATCCATTAAAAGAATTTGTGTTCTAACAGTGTTGTAGGATTCATTCAATCCCTTTAGAAAACATATCACATGCTCCATTTCTCTATACTTTAAGAAGGTTCTTGAAAGATCACAACTGCATGGTATCTTGCATGTGCAGGTGGGTATGGGTCTCAAGAACTCCAACTCCTCCCATAGGATCTTTAAATCAGTAAAGAATTGACTCACTCCTCTTTCTCCTTGTCTAATGGAGTGTATGTCTTGAAGTAAGTCCGAAATCTTGAAATGATCACCCTTGGAAAATCTTTCTTTTAACTCATCCCATAATTCTTTTGCTTCTTCCACGTATATAACACTCTCAGCAATTTGTTGGGAAAGAGTCTTTGTTACCCAAGACAATATCATCATGTTGCACCTTTCCCATGCATCATATAGGATGTCATCTTTCTGGGGTTTCTTTATTGACCCATCAATGAATTTTACTTTGTTCTTGGAGAGCAAAGCTCTTCTCATGCTTCTGCTCCAAGATGAGTAGTTGTTCTCGCTTAAAGTTTGTGTCATGAGAGTGAGACTCGGGTTCTCACCCGGGTGTAAGTAGTAAGGGCTGGATGGGTTGTTGAACTTTGCCTGATGCAAGTAGTAAGTATTGGATGATTGACCCACCTGTTCCATGAAGGTTAAAGATACAAGAAATAGCCCAGAAGGATATCAAGAATATCAGCAGAGGCAGCGGAAGCAGAGCAGGTACTAGACCTGCTCTGATACCATATTAAACCGAGGCCCAAAATGGTGTGAACAGGAGGGCGGCCCAATAACTCATGGCCCGTGATGTGGGTAAAGCCATCAGAGTGAGAGATTTGGTGAGCAAACGTGGCAAATGCTTCTGCGCGAGAGAGAGGAGAGAGAACGGAGGATCCAGAGACTTCTTCCGTGGAGACTGAGGAAGCTGGTGACGGCACGGCGGTCCGACGGCCTTAGAGACGTCAGACGACTAAGGTGCAGAAGAGAAAAATGAAGAGGGCGAAGAGAAGAGTAAGTAAAACGAAACCTTTCTTGCTTTCAATTAACTGTATTCAATTATTGAGTTTTCATATGTAAAAGACGTAAAGAGGAGCTTTATTTATAGAGCTCTGGAAAACAGAAAACGGTTAGAATAATATAAGAAACTAAGACCTAAAAGAGAAGTGGATTTCGGTCCATTTTACAGTAAAGGATCAATTTGATTCTCAACACCAAAATTTATGATTTATTAATTGGTACAACTGATTCCTTTGAAACAGAAGAAAAACACTTTAGCAAGATTAGATACCTCATGTCTACTGGATCCAATCAGTTCAAAGGTTTCTAATGTTAGCATTATTTTTAAATATAAATTAAATATTATAGCATTTTCCGTTCGTATTTTTAAGGAACATAAATTGGCCCATTAAGCCATTATTTTTATCTTTTTAACTGCATAGAGGTTATGGAGCAGTTACTAATTTTTAAACGTAAAGACCATTTATTTTGAACTTGTGATGGCCAGACTTTATATAAGGGAATAGGTTACTCTCAGTTTTGATCACTAAGTGATGGCAACCCCTTTAAGGACTTCCCATCCAAAGAAGTATCATCTAACACTAAGACTAAAGAAAGGGAAGTAGAATAAAGATTGCTAAAGCTATTTTCTTATCTAAGCCTTAGATAGATTCTCTTTAACTAATTCCATTTACATTGTTTTGTAGAACATTAATAAGGTTGGAAGGTTCCTTGGAAAGTTGCCAAGCAAGGAGGCAAAGAAGAATGTATTGTGCAACCAGCCGTGTAGCACCTTTGAAAGAATGAATTCAACATTTTCCATGTGGATTATGCAGCCACCAAGATTGTCCATGTGAAACATGCAACCAGCCACATTTTACATGTTTCTCACGTGGAACACAAGCCAAACCATCAAGCTTCTTCACATGAGCACATTCTCCACATTTTCCATGTATAACACATGGCCAACATCATTCTGCATATTTTCATTTAGCTTATGCACATTGTAAATATGCAGAATACATTCCA